TCTGGGTCGGGGTGTGTCAGAGAGGATATAGTTGAAGATTTTGTAGTAAAAAAATCTTATTCAATCATTCAGGAGGCCTGTTTTAGACTGCGCAGTGGCTAATAATAGGAATAGTTTTAATGTGGCAAAAATTATTGAGCCAGATGTTGAATCCCACATCGGTCGTAGGAAAAGATAAATAATAGTTTAAATATATTAACCGCACTCTAACTAATATTGAGACCTTTTGTGATAAAACTTCACACCTAATGGATTGTACATGTGGTAATTACCAAGTTGAGGACAATATCAATGTTGTTGGAAGTGGGCCATATGGCCCGTCTCTCTGATAATTCTACATTTTTTTTATGGCTTAATTCTCATTGTATTACATAACTAAAAATATATACAAGATACAATCTTTATTCCATAAGGAAACAATAAACAATAAAGGACACAAACATATATCATTTCTAGTAAAGGATTCTAATATGTACAATATATTTACATCCCTTTTTAATATTACTCACAGTAATACTCCCCCTCAAGTTTGAGCATAGATATCATACATGCTCAACTTGACAAGTGAGCCACCAAAAGACCTACTACACACAGCATGAGTAAGGATATCCACAAGTTGCTCTTCCGAGTTCACAAACGGTATTGACACAATTTTCTTCTCAAGCTTTTCCTTAATGAAATGACGATAAACCTCTATATGCTTTGTTCTATCATGTTCTACCGGGTTCTCTGCAATCTCACGTGTGGACTTATTATCACAATACAAATTTGTGGCCTCCTTTGGTTTGAAACCTAGACCCCGGAGTAACTTACGCAACCAAAGAACTTCACATACTCCATGCGCCATACCTCTGAATTTGGCCTCAACTTAAAGATCTAGACATCACATTTTGTTTCTTGCTCCTCCAAGTAACTAAATTTCCACCAACAAACGTAAAGTATCCAGCAGTAGAGCGCCTATCAGTCACATCACCTACCTAATCAGCATTAGTAAATCCCTCGATCTTCAGATGACTGGAATTTTTATACAAAATTCCTTTTCCCGGAGCTGACTTCAAATAAGCTAAAATCTGCATAATTGCTGCTATATGATCCACACTTGGTAAGTGCATGAACTAACTCACCACACTTACTGCATAGGTTATAACCGGACGAATATGAGCTAAATAAATTAGTCTTCCTACCAGCCTCTGATATCTGGCTTTATCTACTAGTTCTTGATCTGAATAAATCCCCAAGTAATGTTTCTCCACATTGGGAGTATCTATAGGTTTACACCCAAGCATACTTGCTTCCTTCAATAAATCCATAACATATTTTCGTTGAGATAAGAAAATACCTTAGGATGAACGAGCAACTTCAACTCCAAGAAAAAACTTTAAGTCACCTCTTCATCTCACACTCGGTAGAAATGTTCTTCTCCAGTTTGACAATCTCATCTGAATCATCAACTGTTATTATCATATCATCCACATAAATAATCAAGGCTGTTACTTTACCGTTTGTCCACTTCATAAATAAAGTATAAACAGACTAACCCTGATAATACCCATTCTTTCTCATGACCTGAGTGAATCTCCCAAACCATGCACGAGGTGACTGCTGAAGCCCATAAACTGACTTATGCAATCGGCACATTCTTGATTTTTCCTCCGTTACTATATCCCAGAGGAAAATCCATATATACTTTTTCCTCTAGATATCCATGAAGAAACGCATTTTTTATATCAAATTGTTTCAGTGGTCAATTCAAATTTGCAGCTAATGAGATAAGGACTTGTATCGTATTCATCTTAGCCACCGGAGAGAAAGTTTCGTAGTAATCAACTTCGTACGTTTGAGTGTATCCTTTCGCCACTAACCTTGCTTTATACCTGTCAAGTGATTCGTCAACCTTGTATTAACTGTAAAAACCCATCAGCACCTATTGGTTTTTTTCCTTTTGGCAGCTCAATACTTCCATGTATTATTTTTCTGCAATGCCCTCATCTCTTCATCCATTGCTTCGGTCCATTCTCGACTTTTCAAAGCATCTTCAACCTGAGTTGGTACTTGAATTAAATCTACATTATTCACCCAAGCTTGACATTCAAATAAAAGGTTTTTACATGACACATAATTGGCTATTGGATACTTCACTTTTCCTTTCGGAGAAAGCTTGTCAAGAGGTAAACCACAACTTTGTCGTGGTGGAAACTTATACGTACTTATAAAATCATTAGTTCCATGAGCATCAATGGTACTTACCTCAGGGATATCCAAAGAAGATGTATTAGACAATGGCACGATTGAGCTAGAGAGAAGGGGAAGCAACAGGCTCAGCAAGAGTTTCGGTAGTCCTAGACTCGGCAGCAACCTGATGTGGAGCTGTTTTTTCTTCAGTAGAAGATGGCTGAACACTAGCACTCTTCCTCGGCAAGGCCTGGCTGACACACTGCACTATCTTCGGCAGACAGCAGTTAAAGCCCTATCACATTCTCGGCTGTTTCTTATCGAGACCCATTGTTCTCATTGTCATCAACACACGCTCCCCCTGAACTACATATCACATAATCTAGTATCTTTAACCATCCAAGATCACCGTGATCACCACTAGTACTCTCCCTGGTGATCTGAAGGTGATGGGTTCAAAGAATAAAAATACTCAAATTCAGAAAAACCCCATACTTGACGGATTATGCAGGTGGTAATCACCAAGTTGGGGACAATATTGGTGTTGTTGGAAGTGGGTTGCATGGCCCATCTTTCTGATAATTCTACATGGTATCAGAGTAAGGGAGCAGGCCCTTACTGTACTGCCATGTGATGGGTGGGTCCCCTTGGCCCCGCGCGATGATGGTGGGTCCCTTGACCCCGCGTGTAGGGTGAGCCCTATTAGCTCCACGTGGTTACCGATGCGGATCTGTCACATCTCGACCCTGAGCTCCACCACATCCCGGGCTCAACTCCGTTGTAACACAATATTGTCCGCTTTGGGCCCCAACCACGCCCTCATGGTTTTGTTTCTGGGAACTCACGAGCAACTTCTCAGGGGATCACTCATCCTGGGATTGCTCCAACCCAAACTCGCTTAACTTCGGAGTTCCGATGGAACTTGAAGCCAGTGAGCTACCAAACGGCCTCGTGCTATATGGAGGTGGGCAAATACATATAAGGCATAAAGGATCATCTCCCTTGGATGATGTGGGATCTAATAGTATCTCCCATGTATGACCCACTAATTGGGTCCCACGTGGGGGGTGTGTTGAATCCCACATCGGTCATAGTAAAAGATAAGTAATAGTTTAAATATATTAACCCCACTCTAACTAACACCGAAGCCTTTTGTGATACAACTCCACACCTGACGAATTGTACAAGTAGTAATTACCAAGTTGGGGATAATATCAGTGTTGTTAGAAGTGGGCCATATAGCCCGTCTCTCTGATAATTCTACACAATCTACTATTTGGATGTTTCCTTTCTGGATTGAAATCACATTGAGCAGCTTTAACGACTGTAGTGAATTGTCCTATATCTCAGAGTACGTCATAGATGCCTGCAAGCACTATTAATGCAATTAACATTACGAAGATTCTGGTGGTTTGCCTCATTATGTGCATAGTTTTCTATTAATAAATCCAAGTAAATGTGTTTGCTACATGTGCTGCACATTGTGCTGACTAACACAATAATCCATGCCAACTTGTGTTTTTCTGTACTATCTGTGTGATAGTGATATAGAATGTGAACATGGTGCACACTCTCATTGTGGTATCTCAGATCTCTTATAATCTGCAGTGGAATTTTATGTAGTTTTGGGTGCTCTACTTCTGAGTAGTGTTGTGATTTACGACTCAAAATTAGGATTATGTAAAAATTAGGTTTGTGTTACCTATTTCGTTTTGGTGTTCTTTTTGGGTTAGGATTTGATTTCTTGGATGGATTCGTTGCTTGGTGGAGAGATTTTGTTAATTATCTATTTGATTAGGATTTGAATTTACTTCCAATTAGGAGAGACTACTCCGTTTGTTCTAGTTCTCTACTTGTTTGGTTTAGGGTTCGTAATTTGTGGGATTTGGCTTGTGAGAATTACAGTCTTTTGTAATCTCCCTTTGTTTAGTGAAATTTCTCGCCGTGCTTCGTCCGTGGACGGAAGCTTTACGCCGAACCACGTAAATCTCTTATGTTTTTATTTGAGATTGTTTGTTTTTAACTTTCGCCTCCGACGTTGATATTTAGTACTTTTGTTAGCATTCGCTTCCACATGCGCATAAAATTACAATAGGTAGTCTAGCGTCTGATATTCTGGTGCTCTGTCACTACACTTTCAAATGCACTTCCTGTTAGTGACAAGGGAATTTACGAATGGAACTCAAGAAATCTTTCCTTTTCCCCTTCAGAATTATAACAAACTTCATATCAGTCATCGTGTTCTGCTAATCTCATTAACTCAACTACAAATTGATAAAATTGTCAGAAATTATAGTTAGAAAACTTTGTTGGTTTATTAATGTTTCCTAGGTATACAAATATTTTCATCCTGTTTATAGGTACATGCCTTTTCGTCTCATCTGTTCTGTGTGTTACTCTGTTAGTCTGCGTACGTTGTTGACTCATAGTTTCAGCAGGTTGTTTATCTATAGTTATCAGTACTTTTGTTCTTAGAGGTACATGATTTATCTGAAATATTCAAATAAATAATTGGATTGTTAAGTACCAATTGTCTATAGTTTCAGCAGGTTGTTTATCTATAGTTATCAGTACTTTTGTTCTTAGAGGTACATGATTTACCTGAAGTATTCAAATAAATAATTGGATTGTTAAGTAACAATTGTTCATGCAAAATACATGTGAATCCTCAGATGCCTTGTTATCTTCTTAAATGTATCTTCCAGATATTGTTCTGTGTCACCATGTTTCTTATCTAACTATTTTTCCATCAGATGCCTCATTGAACTGTTCACAAACCAACTAAATGTTGCTGCTAGAATTAATAAAAACATAATGGTCAGTTTGATAGTCATCTTGTTCGGGATGCTTTTTTTATTCATTAAAATAAAATATAGGTATAACAATTGACATTTGTTCTGCGGTTGGTCACAACACATTTTTAATACAGATAAAAGTTGGTCCTGACACACTACTGTTTCCCATTATTGCATGAATTACACCTAACTGGTTGTCTAATACTTTTACAGAGATCCTAAATTTTGTTTTACAGTACATTTGCAGAGCCTTTCATACCAAAGCCGTTGGTCCTTCGGTGGAATCCATTTAGTGAAAGTATGACATTTCACTCTTAGAAGATTGGGTTTCACAGTGGTGCAAGTTTCTGCATTATGACATAGCCATCCACAGCCGTGAAGCAACTTTGCTAATGCAGTTGTAATCTGTTGCAGAATTTGAAAGATATGTTAATAGCATAATCAAAACAGTCTTGTTCTTTCTTTTTGGGGGTTAGTCCACTTGTATCAATATGGTATGCTATAATACACGCCCCGGGGGGGGGGGGGGGAGTGGGGGCGGGGTGTGTTTGGTTGTAGATAACATGTTAACAGTCTTTAGGAGATACCCTAATTTGATTGCTTTTGCTGGGACTTCATCTTTCTTAAGCCCAGGCCCAGGCTGAGTTTGAATATGTGGCTGGCTTAGCTGCAGATGGATGGGTGCGTGCAAATCATGTGCATTACTGATGCTATATGGAGGCTGGAAAGTTTTGTTTCCTCGATTCACATCCCTTGCTTCGTAAATCTGAGAGTAAAATATTCTGCATGTGTTAGTGTTTGCTAGAGAAGACATCTTCACGTTCGCTGATGAGTGTACTTAACATAATGGCTTTATTTTTTAGCCTCATTTGGTTCCTCTCATTTTCCATTTGCCCCTCTCCACCCTTGTGATGAATTATAATATGTGTTAAATAGAAAAGTAGAGCTTAATGTGTAGACAGTACCTTCTTTTGCAGTCCCTCATTCTCTTTACCTATGAGGTCTAGCTTGTTATACAGTTCTATATTCTCTTGATGTATCAAATTTCCCTGAAAATAAAGTAAAAAAACAACATTAACAAGTATCAGTTAACCCCCAATAAAATGAGTCAACATTAATCAACTAGGGGAAATTTAGCCAGTTTACCTTCTGGTTCAGTTCTTTTATTTCATCATCAAATATCTGGTTCTGCAGAATAGAAAAAAAAAAAAAAATACAAATGAGTGCCATGCATGTGCTATATAAAGAAGGGAACATGATATTTTAACTGAGACTATAATCAGGGCTAAGGCTTTTGATACCTTTTTTGTCCGGACACCTTTCAAACTTATCTCCAGCTGTCTTTCCAAATTTTGTAGATCTTTGGCTTTCAAATCAGAAAGTTCTTGCCCCATTAACTGCCTGCATAATTTACGAAAGGTGTGGGGGTAATATTCTCTAATCGTTCTCACAAACTAATTTATATTTACGAAATATTACTTTGTGGTGTACGAGATACCATGTTTTTCCCATTAAATCATTATCTCACATTTCATGGGAAGATCTTTAGTGTTTTAGCAATATTTAAGTAACAGTATCAGATATTGGGAAGCGATATTTAAAAGTTGCATTTCAGTCGGTTTAAAAGCTTGATCTCTGACAAAGTCGCTTAAGGAGGAAGCATAGGGAAGGGAACACCCAGATCATTTAGGCTTAGGACAACGTGTTGTTAGGCTTCATTGGGGACCTCAGTTTTTATGACATTTCATGTTTCCTTTAGTGAAGATTTCTTGAGATTGCATCTGTGTTTTCCATGTTACGGCTGAGCAGCTGGATGCTAATTATTTATTAATTGATTTTTTTTTTTTTTCCCTTTTTCTGTTAGCTTTAATGGACTTCATGTCCACTGCAACTGTATTTCATTAATTGGTGCTAGTTATTGTTCTGTACCATAATTAGTGATATCGTTTTGGATAAGCAACATGAAATATGAATTTTATGTTTTGGTACTTGAATCAAATTGCTAGGCTATGTTGAAGATTCAATGTAAATTAATGATTGTACCTGTGCATTCTTCCAAGTGCCGTAATTGTTGCCTCAAGCTTGCTGCCTCCCTTTGCCAAAACTATTAAGTACAAATAAATACAGTAACTGTTGTCATGCATGAAATAATAACTCAGTAGATGAGCATTTACAGAGCGCTAAAAAACAAAATGTTAGCCAATGTAAAATCACACGTGAATCTGAAGCGTGCATTTTATCCGTAATATTATTGGGAAATATATCTCCTTGCATGTTTACATACACATGCGCTTGATCACATGCTTTCAAACGCACACACAAAAACAAAACCATGCATATGGACAGATTGGATTAGTTCTCAAAGTTCTCTAGCTTATGGCCATGCAGGTGTATCTCATATAGGCAGATATAAATTGTTTTTGGGGCCATGCATGTATATCTCATATTTTTCGGTATGGGCTCTTACTTTTATCATTGGTAAATATTATTATTCCTTGTTTGATCCCAAACGTATCTTATGTCTGCTCTAAAGGTTGCCTTTTCACTTATTTACTCAGCTACTCGGTGACTACTAATGATACAAAGTTGTTGAGAAAAGGCATCTTCATAATTCTACTGATGGAACAGCAAGAACATTTACCGATAACTTTCCCTTTATTGAAATTGAAGGATGTTACCTGCCATGCATAGTATCCTCCACACTAGAGAGTAAATGACGACAACATTCACTCTTTATTAAGATGTTCAGAAGTGCTGCAATGTTGTTTGGTAAACTGTAGTAGCTCCCATGTTTTACTGAAACCCTAGGATACAACTATATCACCTTTTTCTCTTCATCGTTATTCCTGGATTTCGCAAGATAAGGAAATTGCTTGCCCACACCATTTAAGTGCAGCTCAAAGATTTTCATCATGCACTTGTTTCTTCAATTTTTCTTCCCATCACTCAAGGAATTCTCGTGGGAGGTCTTGATTTACATTTCCAGAAACAATATGTTACCAATAACTATGGAAATTGAAATATTCCCTTCCCGCCTACTGCAATCTTACGCTGAAGTTTTTTCATTACGTGGGGCAGGTCGAATTTCTCATTGGATCAATATATTAACTTCATTGTTCTTTTTTCAGAAATCTGACGCCCAAAACCCTTGATTGTTGAAATTTCATCCTGGATAGTATTACTGGGCTGTCTATCTTTTCGTTAATATAAAGCCCTCTAATTGGATACGAGTTGGAATAGTCTGGAACTGCTGGTTCAAGACAAATGAACTATTATTCAATGGAATTTTTCTGAAGCTTGGATCCTTCAACTCTTGGTGTTATCAAAGCTTCAGCATCAACATACTTTCTTGGTGTTATCAAAGCTTCAGCATCAACATACTTTCTCTTGGTCTTTTATTCTTTTCTTCTGCAAATGCAAACAAATATGCAGTACCTAGAAGGCATTGCCTCATTGCAAATGGAATGTTGTACATTAGATAAGTTTAGCTTGTCCTGTCGTTGCATCTATGTTTTCCTTTTATCACAATCCCTCTAAGACAGGCTTCATTGTTAACTCTGCTTGTTCATGTTTGTATTCATTCCACCACGATTTCAGGTTGGTGTGGCGTTGCAAGGCTGTTAAATGGTTCCTTTGAGTACCGTGTCTATTTTAGATATAGCTACATTCTTTCAAGAGTGGTTGAGATATGGGTAGTTCTCTTCTCATAAGAAAAGAAAAATATAATCTAGGCTTCACTCAGGTACTTTCTTAAGTAGCATCCCTAAAAGGAAATTGCTACCCTTGCCTAAGTAACGTTGGATTTTTTGTTCGTATATATAGAAGAAAACACAGGTCTCGAAATAAACTATAGGGGCATTAAGCTAATGAGTCATACAACGAAGCTCTAGGAGAGAGTAATTATGCATAGATTGAGGCAAGAGACACAGGTCTCAGACAACCAATTCGGGTTCATGTCAGGGCGCTCAACCATGGAGACAATCTATCTCTTACAAAGATTGATGGACAGATATAGAGATATGAAAAAGAATTTACACATGGTCTTTATAGATTTGAAAAAAACGTATGATAGGGTCCTAAGGGACATTCTTTGGAAGATTTTAGCGAACAAAGGAGTATGAATAGCATATATCCAAGCTATAAATGATATGTATGATGAAGCAAAGACTGCCGTAAGAACTCATGAAGGATAAACCAAAAACTTCCTCATAACGGTAGGGTTACATCAAGGCTCATCTGTAAGTCCTTGCCTTTTTGCATTGGTAAAAGATGAGTTAACTGGACATATTCAAGATGATATTCCTTGGTGTATGTTTTTCGCAAACGATATAGTGTGGATAGATGAAACTTAGGAAGGGGTAAATGCGAAGCTTAACCTTTGGAGAGAAGTGTTGGAATCTAAAGGTCTTCGTCTAAGTCGGTCAAAGACAAAATATATGGAGTGCAAATGGAGGCCCAAATGAGTTAAGGGTGAGAATTGGAGACCAAGAAGTACCAAAGAGCGACCGCTTTCGCTACCTAGGATCTATCTTGCAAAAGAATGGAGAATTAGATGGAGACCTCAACCATAGAATACAAGCTGGATGGATGAAGTGGAAGAGTGCATCTGGCGTGTTGTGTGACCATCGTATACCACTGAAGCTCAAGGAAAAATTTTATAGGACGGTAATAAGGCCAGCGATGTTGCACGGCATAGAATGTTGAGCGGTGAAGCATCAACACGTACATAAAATAGGTGTAGCAGAGATGAGGATGCTTCATTGGATGTGTGGGCACACAAGAAAGAATAAGATTAGGAATGAGGATATCCGAGGTAAAGTAGGAGTAGCCGAAATTGAAGGAAATATAAGAGAAAATCGATTACGGTAGTTTGGACATGTGCAATGAATGCCTACTGATGCTCTTGGTAGAAGATGGGACTATGGGACAAAGGTCCAGGGTTGAAGGGGTAGAGGAAGACTTTGGAAGAGACTCTAAGAAAAGACTTAGAGTACTTGGATTTAACGAAAGACATAACATAGAACCAAGCGCAATGGTGTTCTAGGATTCATATAGCTAACCCTACTTAGTGGGAAAAGGTTGTTGTTGTTGTTGTTGTTGTTGTTGTTGTATATATGAAGAAAACACTTTGTAGAGAAAACCTTAAATTATTTTTACTACCAGATTTTTGCTTCTGATGGAAACTTCGAATTGTGATATCAACTTGTAAACTTGTGTTTCTATTTGCTAGAACTTCAGTAAAATTTTAACAAGTTGTTTGAACTTATGTCGGATAGATGAGATAGAAGCTTTCCCAAAGCAGTCTATTGATCGTGAAAATTATAGTGAAACTCATCTCCCTTCTCTTGTCGCGTTGCAGTAATAGTATTTTACATTGAACCTTCAACCAGGAAGAATAACTAGTTCCATGACATATCTTATAACTTCATTAAACACCTTGTTTCACGAGTCTGTGGAAGGGAAAGTCAGTAACATAAATCCACATCTCTTCCACGTTTCTTTCCTATCTGGACATCACATTTGATTATTATCAACGTCGCAAGAGCATGCATCTGCCTTTCCTGAATGATCTTGTATTTCCATGCCTCATATTGTTTTTCCTACCGTTTTTCCAATCTACCTGAGTTTTTCACTTTTCGATACACACTTTTGTTCAGGCTTTCAATCTCATGTATTTTAGACCTTCAGAAAATGGTGCAGTTGTTTAATGGTTTGTTAATGTATATAGCTTATTTTCCCTAAAATCCTTTATGCGTCTCTTCATAAGTTAAGTGCCAAGAATGCGTTGAAGAGGATAGAGCTCTATGATTGTCTCAGAAGGTTTCTAATGAAAACTGACAGTAACATTTGAGTCGTAATTTCTTTGTATGGATACATGTTTGTCCATAATGCTATTTCGAACTCTCTAGACTAATCCTATCGTGTACTTTTCCATACAGTTAAACTTGTGACTAACAATGACTACTTTCTCGCCATTTCTATGTTTGCTTTTCTATAATCTCTCCAAAATGATGTAATCCAACATTGCTGAGGACGGATTATGTTTGCTAATGTTTATTACTATACATAGGCAAGACCATAAGCTACGTAATTATTCAAGTGGTATGCATGCATAGTAACTTATATGAAAGCAATTCTGGGTTGCAAGTAGGCATTGTTGAAGAAGCTTATTGCCTAGTGTTTGACAGTATGAGATATATATAATGCCTTTATACAGTATAATTGCAGGTATTCAGCAGAAAGAAAATTGGAGCTGTCAAGTGGTTACCTTGACTTCTGAAGTAGGATTCAGTAGTTGACGATGCTCCTCTCTTAGTTTGCTGAACCGATCGATAACTGATTTCACACTATTAAGAAATTCATAGCGTTATGGTCATTAGATGCAACATTCATGCAACTTGTGAATATTTCATAGTAAATTCATAGCATTATGGTCATTAGTTTATCGAGCATATAGGGGAAATACTTGTAATCCTTGTTAACATTTGTTTTGAATGGGTTTGGGGAAATCTGTAAACCTGCTTTTTCTACGCAGACAATATTGTAGGAGGGGTGAATGCGATAAGTCCCTTTGAGTATTAAACAATCTGGCAATGCTTTTTCATGTTTTTACATATTTATGTCATTCGGTCATTTTAGTTGCTCAAATGATTATATCAGTTGGCCCTGATTCACATTCACCTTCATAACTAACTAGTAGCTACTGGTTTAGTGACTTTTCTTCCCAACAATAGAAAGGCCCCATGTTAGAATCCTCCTAACTTGATTAAAGAGAAAAACAAGAGGAAAATAAGTCATCTTTTATTCAAGGGCGGACCCGTTAGGGGGAAGGGGGTAAAATGACCCCCAAACAACAATGAATTTTTATGAATGATTTGGGGTGCAACCCTTTTGAACGTGCCCTCTAATTGTTTGATAAAATGCTCCAAAAAAGGAGTTTCCCTTATTATTAGTTATTTTTTATAAATATTATCTGGCCAAAATGTCATTTTCAGCTAGGTTACTTTATAAAATATAAAATAAAAATAGACAAATAGCAACTTAAAAAGGAAAAAAAAAAAAAAAAGGAAAAAAAATGCAAACCCGCATGCTGCAGCAAATTCAGCTCAATTCAATTTCAAATCCAATTCTCAAATCTCAATCCCTAACACCCAAAACTCCTACCACCCCGCATTGACTTTGATTCTAAAGGTTGCTACGACTTCAATGGAGAGACTTTTCCACTAAATATTATGAAAATTCTATTGCATAACTAAATAGAAGATCAATGGCTGATTGAGATCATGGTGATTTATATTGAAGGCAATGTTTACTCTTCCGTTGAGAATGAAGTTATAATGTAGCATTTTCAAAATGTGAGAACGTGTCTAGACAATTATAACTTGTATTGTCATTTGTTCTATAAATTATAAATGATGGAACTATGGTTTAATTTTGAAGGTTAGTATATGTCTAAGAAATGTTTGTGAACTTTTACGTGAACCTCGGGATACTTTTGCGTAAATCTGCCACTGCCTATATCAAATCTGAGTTGATAGCCAAATGTTTATATATCCAGTAACTAAGGCATTGATCTACTAGCATATTACTGAAGTGAGAATCTGGTTCGTAAGTTTGTAGCCTTAAAAATAGTTAAATCGAAACTCGTCTCCTCTAATTTTGTACCCTTAAAACCCTAACCCTAACAGTACCAAGAAATCTCGTACAGACACTTATTTCTACTTAACTATCATCCTTCGGTAACTCTTCAGAGCCTCAGCCTCTAGCTTATGGCCAGGTGAATGGTTATGAGTAATCGAACTATGTGTGAAAGTGCAACAAGGAAGCAAAGAGAAAGAGCAGATGTGTAATGCTTTATGTGCGCAGCTACGCTCCATTATCTTGGGTCGGCTAGAATGAATAGTGTCATTGGCTTTTTCATCAGCCCTTTAAACCCCTAAGAAAATAGGAGTGTGTTTAAAAACATCAAAAAGTGGTAGCCATAGTGACACTACATTCTCTCCTATAATGTTAGACATGTCAAATTGTTGGAAACATCGACACGAAGAGATCTTCTGAAAACTTCAGTAATCATTGCAAGAGTGTACTCAAACCCCTCCTCAATACTAAATCCGCCTAACCCCCTTCAAATAGACTTGTATATGTACACGAAAGTGTTGGAGGCACACACACACACAGCCTAACCCCCTTTAAATAGACTTGTATACGTACACGAAAGTGTTGGAGGCCTGCACACACACACACACATATCTAGAACTTTGGTGACTGGCTGGCGAAGAGCGAGTACTCTATTAAGTTGATACCCTTTTGTTCTAACAACCAATACAACTACAACACGAAATGTAACTAAAGCAAACAAGTATGAAGAGTTACATTTCGGCTTTATCGGCGAAATGGTTGGGGATGAGGCAAAATCCCTACAAGCTGATGTGCGGCTATCATATTGTTAACAAATCAAAGATACAAAAGAACTTATTGCAAACTCGAATTCTTATTCCATTGTTTAAAAGAAAGAATAACGCTATATATTTGCCAAGACTTGATTTTCTCACTTAGCAAAGAACAATAGTTATCCTAGTACATAAAAGGTAAAGAAACATAAAACCACAACCAAGTATGCATCGTCCACTTTAGTCAATGTGGCTACATCCACATCATAGTTCTCATCTAACATCAGGTAGAAAATCCTAAGACGTAAAATACTAAATATAATCCTAGTATAACCAAATTGCAAAGCTTTTCCAACACCTCCTGTGAAACTCATGAAGGTACACAAGATCATGAGTTTACTAACAAAACTTTGCTATTGGTGCGAATGTCAGTGCAATTCCAATGTCAATATGATACCAATGCAAATGCCAACTGATGAAAGAAAAGAAAGAAAGGAAAAGAAAAAAAAAAACCCAAAACTGGAGAAAAGAAAAATAGAAAAAAAACCAAGAAAACTTGAAGCCCAACCAAATTGTAATTCTTACTAGGTTCACTAAAATTAAGAAAGAAGAAACTTAAGTGTAACTTCCGTTCTAATGCTTCCATAATTCCAACATCAGGAATTGAGTACACTCTGAATCAATGTCTAGAGTTGGCAAACTTAGATATCTGAACCACTTATTTTGACGCAGCATGAAGTACGAGGGAAAGAAATGTAAACCCTCGAAGATCAAGTTTTCTAGAATCCACTAGAGTTTGAGAGCAGAACTGAACGGTTACATTGAAACATCCAAAGGCTTTCAATAAACTAATTACAACTCCTAAAACAGCTCAAAGGACTCTAGTAATTAACATTCAAAGTGGTCTCAAACATTTTCCACAAGGTGGTCCAGAAATGGCTCAAGAACTTGGTGTCTCAATCGGAAGTGATGAACTTAAGTACTCCATGAAATCAAACCTCCCTGAAAACAGTTTGGCTATGTTAGATTCATCAGCAGTCTCTTGTAAGCAACAAAATGAGCCATCTTGAAGAACTTGTCAACCACACCAAAAGCCGAACCGACTCATCTTTTTGTGTTCGGGGTAGCCAAAATCCATAGCAAGGACCGGCCAAATGTTCTTCTGAATAGGCGATGCCATGTAAAGGCTAATGCTTTGGACTTGCCCTTTAGAAACCTGACAAGTATAACATTTCCGCACAATTACTCCAACATCCCGCTTCAAATGCGACAAAAAATATCTTTCCTCTAGACTTGCTATTGTTTTATCACGGTCGAGATGACCGCTTAATCCACCTTTATGCAATAAGTTTCTCTCGTGAGGAAGAGACGGGAATACATAACTAATTGCCTTTGAACAGAAAACCTTCATTGATAAAGTAATCTGTCATAGGCTCATGACTAATGCACTTCCTCCAAATTTCCTGAGAACCATCATTAGTTTCACACAAATCCATCAAGCACTTGAACACAACTTCTTAAAAAAGGGTGATCAGCAAAGACACTCGTCTAGTCAAGACATCGACAACATGGTTTTGAACTCCAAATTTGTTCTTGATAACAAACGGGAATTTCTGCAACAAAGTTACCCATCTAATATGCATTTTATTAACATGTCTCTAATTGTTAATAAACTTTCGTGAATAGGACAAACTCCTTTTTAGGGAAGAACAACACCCACTCCTACTTCACTTGCATCACATTTGACCTCGAATACCTTCTCAATATTCAAAAAGGCCAACACCGGAGAGGTATAAAAGCTTCTCTTTGATTGGGGCAAAGCTTTGTTCCTATTCCTCTCCCTAATTGAACTTGTCTCTTTCTATAAAGGTGCAGTGATGGTGCTGAAATGTTGAATAAATCTCCGATAAAAAGTAACTAGGTCATGAAAACTTCTTACATCAAAGACAAACTCCGGAGTTGGCTAATTTAGATGGCCATGGTCTTATCATCATCCACTTGAATTCCATTCTTACCAACCATAAATCTCAGAAATAGCAATTTATATTGTACAAAATATGCATTTCATAATATTCATGTAAAAATTATTTTATTTCAACACGCTTAAAATTTGCCTCAAATGGATTAGATATTCTTCTTTGATCTTGCTATAGATCAAGACATTATCAAACCATAACAAATAGACCATTAAGGGGACTACGAACTTGATTCATAAGCCTCATGAAGGTACTCGACGCTCGGACAGTCCAAACGAAATTACTAGCCACTCGAACAACCCATTCTTGATAGGTTAGTTCACTTGGCTTGTACCACAAAGAAATAATACATTGAGCTGGATAGAAGGGACAAGGAGTTGTAGGCTGAGAATGACACTCTCAGAAATGCAAGGAAAGAGTAGGATGAAAAAAGTACTCTACTTGAAATAAAAAATCACTGATCATGTTTTGCTGAGTGACGAGCTATCTACTCAGGTAGAATCACTTGAGGAAAGTTGCATCTCTATTTGTGAAAGCAAAGAGAAACTGTTGGGAGATTTGCAAAAGGCAGAAAAATAAAATTGTTTAAACTCACTATTGGTGCTGAAAAAGTTGACAAAATGCTGAAGTTGGGTAAACCATGTTGTCATAAAAGTGAACTTGATTTTGCTGGTGAGTGCTCAACTGATGCATTAGCAGGAAAAAGGTTTATGAAGAGTTCCAGTCTATCTCACTTGGAACCACTTCTTCAACTGAAAGAAAGTTTGTTCCTACTTGCCGTCAATGTGAAGAACTAGGCCATGTCAGACCTATTTGCAGAAAAATACCGTTGGCGATATGCCCTGAAACTCAATCTTTAGAAAATAAAATATTCCAGAATAATGCCCTGAAACTCAATCTTTGGAAAAGATCTTCCAGAATAATGCCAAAATGATTAGTCAAAACTAATACACTAAACGGGAAAGATCACTGGGTTAAAGT